TTCAAAAATGTCAAATTCTGTTTTTCTGTCAAAATGGGGTGCTGTGTGTACATTAATAAGGGAAAAAAAATGAACTTCCATGATTCTAGCATATGGCTGCAATATAACAGAGCGAAAAATGTAAGTGGGTCTGAATACTTTCTGTACCCACTGTAGATTGAGTGTGTGGACAGGTGTCTTTTATACAGGTAATGAGTTCAAACAGGTGCAATTAATACAGGCAATTGGTGGAGGTTAGGAGGGCCTCTTAAAGACAAACTAACAAGTCTGTGAGAGCCATAATTCTTGCTGGTTGGTATGTGATCAAATACTTATTCCATGCAATAAAATGAAAATAAATTATTTAAAAATCTAATGTGATTTAGGTGTACCTACAATTAACTGTCCTTTCTCTGTAAGTGGGAAAACTTGAAAAATTGGCAGTGTATCAAATACTTATTTGCTCCACTGTATAAATAGGGTGTGATTCTTTTTAATCCACAAAAAGCAATTTTAAATATGTGGGGGACATAAATGAATTAATAAGGTTAACTTTAGTTTAGGAAAACTATGTTTGCTCTAACAGATCCTCAACATCAGAACAGCTCGTGAATGCCCTTTAAAAACAGCATTGTTACATTTATCTGAATAAGGTCTGATTCTCCCTACAAATGAGTTTTAATAATTTAAGTTTGCTAAATACATCATTTGTGTCATATCAGCTCCTCAGCATTTCAAGCAGTCAGAAACGCAGCCCATCGACAGCGACGCTTCAGGCTGTGACAAACCCAGGTGGCTGCGATTAATCTATCATGTATTGCGGTAACACACAGGCAGGGCGCCCCACAACACCATTAACACGTTAATTTGTCGCATCCTGTGAATCACACCCTACCTGTGTGTTATTGTCCTGTTTTATTTCTACCAACAAAAAACAAATGGTTTTTATGACTTGCAGTCTGTTTGCCGGAAATATCCCACAATGCAATGTTATTGCTTTGAGATATCAAAGTGAGAGTAACTGCGAAGTGGGTCTCCTCTCTTCTTCACCTGTCCACTCTGTACAGGAGGAGTTCAGCCACCCTGTGGAGAGTCTTGCCTTGACGGTCGATGAGGTCATCAACGTGCGCCGTGTGCTTGTCAAAGCAGAGATGGAGAAGTTTCTTCAGAGCAAGGAGCTCTACAATAACCTGAAGAAAGGCAAGGTAGGGGACTGGACCGTCCCTCACTGCTGACGCTCACTGCCTTTACAGCAAACTGACCCAGAAACTGTGTTTGTCTCAGGTTTGCTGCTGCTGCAGAGTGAAATTCCCTCTCTTCTCGTGGCCACCCACATGCTTACTTTGTAAAAGGTATCAGAGACAACTTCTCACCTGTTAGAAATGTCTGAAACATTTAATCCTCTTGCTACAAATATCTTGATGTTTGTTTTCATCACGAGTCACCCCTGAGGCACCCACCTCCTCCACCGGTCATAGTTTTCATATTTTATTTGTTTGGTTGAGCTGTTATCTGTTCATGAATGTTTTCTGAGTAGGATCCTGCTATATATGTTGTATATGTATATACATTATACAGTAGGCTGCCTGCCTCCCTCCAGGTTGCTAAAATTAACAGAAAAAAAATCAGAGGACATAACGTCAGTGGTCCTGGGCTCCATTTGTCAATAACAGTTGGTTGTAAACATTAAGAGTGTCTCTAGGAGGAAACGGTTACATTTTTTACGTTTCCTAAAACAGACCCATTAAGAGGTTTTGACAATAGCTGCCAGTGATGCACAGGATGATGCTAAATACTCTTGGAGTAACTATGTAAAATGAACAGTCTATAAGCTGTGCCGTACACACACCAGTGTTGTTTCTGCCCTGTATAACTTGTGTTGCTGAGCAGAGGTTTGATTTAGCTGCTGCTGAAGGTAAACGTCCTCCTGGAGCTCACATTAAACCTAAAGTGAAGCAATGAATTCCCTTTATATGTGAATGTTATACTCTCATTATTCTAGTGTTGGCTCTGCTGTAAATAACTAAATATAGGTAGGGGTTAGGATTATTTAAGAAGTAATTATGTAAATATTACAGTTTGTTCCCCTGCAGGTCCTTAGGATGATCCTAGTGTCCTACAGCGGGATGCAGGCACTCATTAGGCTCAAAGAGTATCTTCACTTATGGTGGGAAAGCATGTTCATCTTAGGACTGTGTTTTTGGCAAATGTGGCCCAGGTTTGTTGTTCAAACCCCAATGCTAGCAAATGGCAGTGATATACAAGATAATGTACAGTAGGTATATAATGTGTGACATTTTGTCATTTCATTACTTATGGAGCTTCTATTAAACATAGTATCATATTTTCATATACACGTTCATTGAAGAGTTAAAGGTTGATCACTTGTGTCACTTTGGATAACACTGTACTCTCCAAAGAAGTGCTGGAATCTCCTGCAGCAAAGTCCAGTAGGGGTTTGTTAGCAAGCCAACAATCTGTAAATTCACTGTTTGCCTTTTTTTCCCTTTAATGTAAAATTAGAACCCAACAGGTTTATGTCATTCCCAAATCTCAGAAATAGACCTGGTGAGGACAGTGTTGCTGACTAGAATCATGTCCAGAACTGTGAAAGTAATGCTTGTTGTAATAAACCAAGATTTCCCTTTAAACAAGCAGTGTTTTCAGTTCTATCTCAGCAGCAGCCAGTAAAACCTACACCGGCTGTAACCACTCTCCAGCTGCTGACCCACTCACTTTTTCACCTTAAACCAGGGTAGCCTAAAGCTGCAGGACATAGTTTAACAACTTTAATAATGGAGATGAATACACAAGCTAATTCTGTTTAATGGTACAGTCCGGTTACCAGCACAGGTCTGTTGTGGTGTTTTATGTTACAAGCTTGTCCTGATTGGACATTTAGTTCAATTTCAGTTCAGTTTTATTTCTACAGCACCAAATCTTTACAAAAAATCATCTCAGTAAGGCGGAGACCTGAAATTATTATAGAAAAAACCCAACAAATCCTGCCTGAGCAAGCACAGTGGGGAGGAAAATGTCTCTGTGGTGGAAGAAACACTCAGGAATTGAGTTGTATTGATTAATGAATGTCTCCCTACAGGTCGGTCTGTGGCTCCTGCAGTGCAAAGGTAACTTTAAATATTTATATTATGTGTTCAACAAAGCCGAGTCACTAGAGACTGTCTGCTTATTTGACTATACTGTATATTGCATTGTAAGCCAACACAGAGAATTGACAGATTCAGTGGTATTTCTGCTGGCATCAGTTCTCCTGTTGGTTTGGATTAGTTGCCTCCGGCCCAGGCCATGTTGGATGTGTGGTTCTGTAGGTTTGATATTTAGGCTGTTTGGAACATGTGTGTAGTGTGTTTTTTGGGGTGCTGTGACTCATTTGTTTTTGAACATTATTGTGAGATCATGTGACAGCTAATGGTGATGACTGTTTGCTGTGTAAGAGCTGAGTCTTTAGTGTCTATTGATTGTGCTCAGAGACTATAAACACTTGTATGAATGTATTTTCCTTCAAGTGAGCTGTCCCCCCCTCACGGTACAGGTTCTTCCTCTTCTCCTGTCTCTGTCTTGTTTCTTCTTCTTGTGCCTCTTCCTGTGCTCCAGATGAAGATCCCCTCAAAGAAGATGGCCCATATTCCTGTGTACACCGTGGGCTTCCACAGCACTCCAAAAAGCCATGGACACAAGGGCCAAGTCTATAAGTGAGTATAGAGCTGTCAGGGCACTGTCCTGTTTGTTAACTTCTACCCATCTGAGGGCAAAAACTAATCTGACCTTTTCAGTGTCATGTCCCAAGTTCACTCAAGGTGAAGTTGATCTGATATTTGGCTGAACTCCTAGCCACTTCTGCACTTTGGTACATTGATAAATTTGGGGGAGACATAAGAGAGAGATTTAAAAATAAAATGGTTCAAATCAAAGCAGCAGAGACCTTTTAGTCTGTAGTCTCCAAAAGCTGGGTCTACAGTGGGTACGAAAAGTATTCAGACCCCCTTAACTTTTTCACTCTTTGTTATATTGCAGCCATATGCTAAAATCATTTAAGTTCATTTTTTTCCTCCTTAATGTACACACAGCACCCCGTATTGACAGAAAAACACAGAATTTTTGACATTTTTGCAGATTTATTAAAAAAGAAAAACTGAAATATCACATGGTCATAAGTATTCAGACCCTTTGCTCAGTATTTAGTAGAAGCACCCTTTTCAGCTAATACAGCCATGAGTCTTTTTGGGAATGATGCAACAAGTTTTTCACACCTGCATTTGGGGATCCTCTGCCATTCCTCCTTGCAGATCCTCTCCAGTTCTGTCAGGTTGGATGGTAAACGTTGGTGGACAGCCATTTTCAGGTCTCTCCAGAGATGCTCAATTGGGTTTAAGTCAGGGCTCTGGCGGGGCCATTCAAGAACAGTCACGGAGTTGTTGTGAAGCCACTCCTTCGTTATTTTAGCTGTGTGCTTAGGGTCATTGTCTTGTTGGAAGGTGAACCTTCAGCCCAGTCTGAGGTCCTGAGCACTCTGGAGAAGGTGTTCGTCCAGGATATCCCTGTACTTGGCCGCATTCATCCTTCCCTCGATTGCAACCAGTCGTCCGGTCCCTGCAGCTGAAAAACACCCCCATAGCATGAGGCTGCCACCACCATGCTTCACTGTTGGGACTGTATTAGACAGGTGATGAACAGTGCCTGGTTTTCTCCACACATACCACTTAGAATTAAGGCCAAAAAGTTCTATCTTGGTCTCATCAGACCAGAGAATCTCATTTCTCACCATCTTCGAGTCCTTCAGGTGTTTTTTAGCAAACTCCATGCGGGCTTTCATGTGTCTTGCACTGAGGAGAGGCTCCCGTCGGGCC